CCCGCCGCGTCGGCGGCCCGCGCCGCGTCGGGCGCGACGGGGCCGGGGAGGGGCCCGCGTGCGCGCGCGCCGTGTGCCTCGTCGCCGCCGCGGCCCGTGCCCCTCCTGAGGACCTCCGTGCAGCAGCCCTGATCCAATGACCCCATGCAGCCCCCGCCCGCCCCTACAACCCCACCTCCTCTTGACAAACGTCGAGTCGACCTCTTCAAACCCGTCGTCGCTGCTGTCGTCCCCGCCGCCAGGCGGCGCGCCAACCGCGCAGTCCTGCGCCGTGGGCTTGTCTGCGAAGCCCTTGCGCACGCGCCAGTAGAGCGCCCACTGCGCGACGCTCCAGGCGGGTCCGTAGTCCTGAGTCGCCACGTCCCACGTGAACACCTGGCGGGCCACATTGTGTGTGCGCACGCGCGCGCGCGTGTGTGTGTGTGTGTGCGCGCGCGTGTGTGTGCTTGCGTGTGTGTGCTTGCGTGCGTGTGTGTGTGTGTGTGTGTGTGTGTAAGTGCACTTTCGTGGGGGGGGCCTCGCAAACGAGGCAGTTGAGGCGCAGCCGCGGCGGAAGCCGGCTTGGCTGGCGTGCAGGGGACCGTGTGACAGCGGCCCTGCACCGACGGCACCCGGGCCCGGCGCCGCACACGCACACGCGCGCGCGCGCACCGCGCGTTCGTCGTTTTCTGATGCATCGGTGGCGCGGCGCTCAATGTCGTAGTCCTCCGGCAGGCAGATGCCCAGCGGGGGGATGAGGCCCGACACGTCACCCTTGACCAGCAGCGGCGCGCGCAGGCCGCCGCCGCGCAGCAGCTGGCTCGTGAAGCCGCCCGGGCGGTGGGCCTTCAGGCGGGGCGCGTGGGGAGGGGCCGCGGGGAGGGGGCGGCTGTGAGGGTCAGCGCGGGGCTGGCGCGCTGGGGCATGGGGTGGGGGCCAGAAAGTGCGCCTGGCCACCACGGCGCTGCCGCCGGTGCAGCGATGGCAGGCCGATCCTGGGGCAGGGGGCGCCCCATACCTGCACATCTGGCTTGGCGTAGCCCGTGAAAGAGAGCAGCCGCTTGCCCAGGGCTAGGTACTGCCCGCCGGGCTCTGCGGAGCGGTCAACACGGCGCGCGCGGTCGCGTGGGCGGGGGCGCCCGCGGTTTAGGCATCTTAGTTCTTGCGTGTGCATTACACTCACACAGGATGGGGAGCTGGTCATGGCTGGGGCGTGGGACGACAAGCAGGGCGACAAGCCTCGCAGTGCAGGACAGTGGAGGACGGACTCGTGCCGCTGCAGTGGTCACGACGCGCTTGGAATAAGTTGTGCCACTCACCATCTTCCGTCAGCCGCGAGCGCCTCGCCTCGACGTCCTCGCCGTGCGATGCACACCCAGCCCCTCCACCGTCCTCCTTGCGCTCCATCCTGGGCACTTGATCACAAAAAGTTTATGACATGTTCAAATCACTTCCGCCGCGCTGTTCAAGCAGACAGACTGGGCCGCGGCATGTGTATCTCTGAGTATCAACGTTGTTTCCGCGCCATCAAGGCGTCTGTATGTGGTGTACCGACAACACGCATGCGCCTTCATGCATGCCAGCGCCGAGTGTGCACCGTCCTCAGTTGATCCGTATGCCGCCACAGGTGCATGTCCAATTCTGACAGGTCGGCAAGCGTCGAGTCAGGTGTTGCAGCGTTGATCACCACGTGGTCCGCCATTTGCGACCAGCAGCCCTTGCCAATGCTGCCCTGCGGAAGTTCCCAGTGTATTACTTTCCGATTTGCGTACAGCGTGGCGCAAATGGCACTGTCACTATGGCGGCGGCGCCCGCACGCTGACCACAAAGCCTAAAAAACCGTCACAGAGGGGCTGGGCGCAGCCAGGCGCGCCAGGCCGGACGCGGGGTTTGAGACGGTGATGGGGAGGAAAGGACTGGGGAGTGGCAACATTGCGACGACGCCCCATAGTTTCAAAAAGCGCATGTGTGCGTACGACAGGGGGTTGGGGGGGCAAGGGAATAGGTGTCGCATGCATGCACGCAGGGTCTTCAGCAATGATGCAAGTGTCGGGTGAGTCTGCAATGCGCGGGGTCAAGGGCCGCATGCTGCGTGTGTGGGCGGCGGCGACGCCCCCATACAGAATCAGTGGAGTGGCCCCGTCGGCAATTATATCTGTTGTCGCTGTTGCAAAATGGGGCAAGGGGATCGAAGGAAACCCAAAACAGGACAAACAGAACGGGGATGGGCACCGACGGACAGCTTCAAGATTCTCACACACGCCCGCCTGCCGAACCCACACACTTGTTCACGGCAACCTCTGCGCCAAAGGGCTGCACAAAGAAGCGGCGACAGTAAAGTGACTCTGCGGAAACTCCCGGGTGGCGAGGCATGGTGATTCCAGCCGCGTGCCCCGCGGCCCGCCAGCCACCTGCATCGGCGCGCATGCCATGGGGGGTGGGGTGCATTCGCCAGTGCCCGCTGCCTACACGCCACCGCGCCGCACGCGCTGCAGGGACGGGCGAGGCCGGGGTCGAGGACCCCGCCACGCCTCAGGGCGGGCGGCAGCATTTGCGGCGGAGTGCAGCCGCCACAGGCGGGCCTCCCACAAGAGATGCAGGCTCCCCGTGCGGCGACTTCGCGCCGCATTACTCCGCGGCGGCCGCGCCCCGCGGCATGGGTCCGCTGCTGGTGCTTCACCCCAGGGGGGGGCGCGGCGGGTCGATGCGGCAAAGCTGCCTGGCTAAAGGTTGTTCTTGAGAAGTTTCTCTGTCTTAACGCACTGTGATGCATGCCGCGCTGCAGCTCAAGCATGGGCCGGCCCCGCAGGCACCCCAGCCGCGCCGGCCACGCCCTGTGCGCGGGTGCAGGCATCAGCCGCCTCTCCTGCTGCCGTCCCGGCAGCCGGCGCGGCCGTCTCATCAAAGCGACAGCCCGCCGACGCCCTCGACGGCCGCAGCCGCGGCTGCCGCCGCCGCCGCCGCCGCCGCGGCCTCGGCGCCCGCGGCGCCGCCTCCGGCGGCGCCGCCGGCCTGCAGCGTCACCCACAGCTGCACCCCCGTCAGGTGGTCGCCGTCTTTGACCACCGTCGCGGCGTACGCCTGCACCGCCAGCCTGAGCCCGTGCTGCGTGGCGAGGTAGTGCGCCGCGTGCGCCGCGGCCATCACGCCGTTGGCGACCGCGGTCTCGCCGAGCGCCAGCACGACGACGAGGCGGCCGGGCGCCTCCGTCAGCCGCGCGGTCAGCGCGGCGCCGACCTTGGCGTGGCGCGAGTGCGCCGACGCCTTGACCTCGACCGGCGGCGGCGCGCCGGGCGGCAGCGCGGGCCCGTACGGCGGGCCAGCGTTGGGCGCCGCGGCCGGCGGCGCGCCGGGCGAGGCGGGCAGGACGCGGAGCGCGAGCAGGGCGCGGCTGTGGTCGACGTCGCGGAAGAGCGGCTCGAAGCTGACGACCAGGCCCTCCGGCTGCAGGAACCGCCCCGCGGTGATGCAACACTTGACCGCGGCGTGGATGCTGCTGTTGCCGGCGACAAGCAGCGTCGGCCAGTCTCGTGCGCGCAGCGAGTGGGCTATCTTGCCGGCAACTGCGGGGCGGGTGTCCAGAAGAAGGGAGGGGGCCGCATGCAAGCGGCGACATGTCGGCGGGTGGATGCAAGCGCGATGATCGGCTGGCGGGTGCTGAGGGCCGGCCGCATGCATGCAGGGCTTCGGCCTTCCCGCCCAGGCGCGGAGAGCACGGCAATCTGGCGGCCGCTCTCCCGCGTGCAAAATGTGGGCAGCTGCCCGTCCCCCTTGTGCCCTTCCCCAAGCAGGAACGAGGCCCTCCAGGCCGCAGCGTCGCCCCCTCACCTGCCGGGATCTTGCTGGCCTGTGAAATCTTGACCGCGTTTGGGAAGCCGGGGTCCTCAGACGGCAGCCGCTCGGCGGCTGCGCCGTGGCCCTTGCCGGGGACCACGGGGGCACCCGCCGCTGGCCAGGC